CCCCCTCATAGCTTCCAGGCGCTGTCATAAACTTTGATTCTTTGATAGCTAAACTCTTAATTCCTTTTTTTAAATGTTCGTTTTCATTAAAGTGCTATTTAACATTAGATATTAACTTTGACAGATGTTAATGCTGCTTCTCAATTAGGTAAAATATATTCTTAGTGAGGTGCCAATTTGAATTGAATATATTTGAATTTTGGTATGTGAATTAAACTGTTGTTTAAACCTTACCCATCCATCACATGGGTGATGGAGCAGCTGGCTGGTTTTGTGTATAAGTGCGTTTCTTCCCCCCAGCAATATTTACTTATTTATTTATATTATTTTTAGAGGGGGGAGGGGCAGTGGGAGAGGGAAGGCGAGAATCCCAAGCACACTCCCCACTGAGTACAAAGCCCGAAACGGTGTTCCGTCCCGTGGCCCTGAAATCATGACCTGAGCCGAAATCGAGAGTTGGACACTCAACTGATTGAGCCACGCAGGTGCGCCCCCTCCTTCAGCAATATTTAAACATTAGAAAATGGCTTCCTATTATAGCAAAGAGAACTTAATATGAATTTACTACAAGATCTCCTTGTTTGTCAGTTTCTTAGGCAGCATAGAGTATAAATTGCCAGACGCTACTTCGGTATAAAATGTTTTCCATGGACAGTATTAATATTTTAAAATCCTTTTTGCTCCTACAGATTTCCAGTAGACAGGAAGTCTAGCTCTATTTACCCTTTGGCTACTAATGAATGCTGTTAAATTATTATTTATCTTCTTTAGGCAGAGGCACTACAGGAATGAGATCAGAATTGCCAAGTGAGGCAAACATTTAATTTTAAAATTAAAAATAATACAAATCCATTCAAAAGTGGCAACTAAAGTGTGGATCCTAGAAGGTATTTTGGACTTGAGTCAGAGAACTAGGGTTGTGGCCCCACCTGCATCACTAACTTGCTGGGTCATCTCAAGCAAGTCACTTCCGGACTTGGCATCAAGACTATTCCGGATGGCATAGTCCCTCTAAAGTTTCAGCTTCCACATCGCATATTCTATATGCTAAAGAAAGCAGGGCTGAGGGAGGCTGATACCTCTTGTTTATCAGCTATCCACACCAGCCTAGTAGCTCTGAGGTCAGACTCCAGCTGAATTTTTTGTCTTTTTTTTCTTTATAATCCCTTAAATCCTTGCTAGGCTTTCATTGCTAGTTCTTTCCCCCTAGGAATTTGCATTCAGAACTATTGAGGGCTTCCTACCTTTGGGAATTTTTCTATGCTCATGAATTTAATGAAAAGTTACTTAGAGTTACAAAAAAAATATCAGAATTAAATGTCTTGTTTGAATGACTGTTTCTGTAAAGTCAGACTGTTTCCATCATGACTAATGTACCTTCACTATTTCAGTTTTGAACTTAATACATTTGAGTCATGGTACGGCAAGGCATGATTGTCAGTTTCTCTTATTAGCCATGCTAGTATTCTCCCACTTACGCGTTGTTTTCTTTTTTTTTTTTTTTTTTAAGCCCAGAATGATTGAGCAACAAGGCTCCATATCATGGGAGTTATATTTTAGGTACTTGAGAATCTCAATGATTTGAAGTAGTTTGAATTGCACTAAGCTAAAATTTACCTTTTGTTGGCTTGCTAGGAAAAAAAATTAAACAAAATAAACTTACCTCAGAGTGTTGAGAAAATAACCATATGGCAACTTAAGGATGTGTATTGTTTGACTGGAAAATGCTAGAGAGAGATTTTTATAGCTCTCTTTATTAAAAGAGGTCTAGCGGGCACCTGGGTGGCTCAGTGGGTTAAGCCTCTGCCTTCAGCTCGAGTCATGATCTCAGGATCCTGGGATCGAGTCCCGCATCGGGCTCTCTGCTCGGCAGGGAGCCTGCTTCCTCTCTCTCTCTCTGCCTGCCTCTCTGCCTCCTTGTGATCTCTCTGTGTCAAATAAATAAATAAAATATTAAAAAAAAAGAGGTCTAGCACTCTGATTAAAAAGGCAGACAATAAGAAGGGCTGGTAAGGATATGGGGAAATTGGAACTCTCACACATTGCTGGTGGCAGTGAAAGGTACAGCCACCGCGGGAAGCGGAAGCAGTTTGTTAGTTCCTGAAACAGTCAACCATAGAATCGCCATATGACCCAGCAATTCCACTCTTATGTATCTACACCCAAAAGAGACTAAAACCTCTGTCCACCCAGATACTCATACATGCATGTTTATAGCAGCATTATTTATAGTAGCCTCAAAAGTGGAAACAACCCAAATGTTTCTCAGTAGATCGAAGGATCACAAAATGTGATAAAGCCACACAACTGAAATATGATTTGGCAGTTAAAAAGATGAGGTATGGGGACGCCTGAGTGGCTCAGTTGGTTGGGCGGCTGCCTTCGGCTCAGGTCATGATCCCGGCATCCTGGGATCGAGTCCCGCATCGGGCTCCTTGCTCAGCGGGAAGCCTGCTTCTCCCTCTGCCTCTGCCTGCCACTGTGTCTGCCTGTGCTCACTCTCTCCGACAAAAAAAAAAAAAAAAAATGAGGTATAGATACATGCTACAGCATGGATGAAACCTCCAAAACATTCCGGTAAAAAACCAGACACAGAAGGCCCCATATTGTAGGACTCTCCTAATACGAAATATCCAGAGTAGGCAAGTCCATAGACAGAAAGTGGATTAACGCTTGCCAAGAGCTGGCGGGGAGGGAAGAGAGGAGACTGGCTGCTAATGGGTATGGGGCTTCTTTTTGATGTGACAAAATGTTTTCAGATTGGAGAGTGGAGATGCTTGTATAATTCTGTGAATATACTAAAAGCCGTTCAATTGGATACATTAATGGGTGAATTGTATTGGTTTGTGAATTCTGTCTCCATAAGCTATTATATAGCAAAAACATTAGCAACTATATTATTCTAATTACTTGAAATTGGGAAAGTGTCTGTAAGTTACATTTTTTGCCAGGGGCTGGAAGGAAGGAAGAGTGGGGAGTTAGTATGGAATGGGTGCTGTTTCAGTTGGGCAAGATGGTAAAAATTCTGGAGATGGATGCTGGTGATGGTTGTGCAACATGAACGTGCTTATCCACACAGAGCTGTATACTTAAAAATAGTTAAAACAGTAAACTTTATGTTGCATATATTTTACAATAATAGAAAGTCTATAATTCTAAGAAAATCACATTTTACATTATTCCAATGTATAAGGCTTTTTTCCTTCTCTCTCTTTTTCTTTTCAGCAAAAAAGTGGAAAGTGTGATCAGCCTTTGGTTTTTATGCATGAGATTCTTTTGTTTTAGAATTTCTGTTCAGTATTTGTGTTTGTTAGGAGAGAAGGTATTGGTTATACATACACATATATGTCTTTATCTTGGCTTTGAAGGAGAACTTGAAAATGCTTTATGAAAATTTATTTGCCAACAGGAAAATAAAAGAGGCCAAACTGTAGGAAAATGTATGTCGTTAAATTATAAAATAGTGAGGGGGGTAGGGATAGGTTGGCTGCGTGATGGACATTGGGGAGGGTAGTGATATGGTGAGTGCTGTGAAATGTGTAAGCCTGATGATTCACAGACCTATATCCCTGGGGAAATAATATATTATATGTTAATAAAAAATAATAATAATAAAAAAGAGTTGGATGCTCAAAAAATTATAAAACAGTGAAATGCTATTCTCAGAGTATAAATTATCATAGATGTCCTGATTTTCTTGGTTAATCTTGGCTCCTCGAATGGGAAAAAAACAATATAGCATATATAGAACATATCTGTCTGTAAGCATTTTCCTTTGCGTAGTAGGATCGAGCAAGCACCCAAATACATTGAAAACACTCACAAACACAGGGGTTACATTTGTACAATACAGTAAGTGTGTTTCAGAATCTAAAGGAAGAGATGGAAAAATGAAAAAAAAAAAAAAAAGAAAGAAACTCCAGCAATGAGGAAGTCACTGGAAAAGGAATTAAATGATTTCTAAAGGCCATGGAACATTGTTAAAACTCAAGCAGTTTGTTGGCTCTAAGTTTGTAACTTCTACTGATTAATCTATGAAAATAGTTTCTAAGCCTGGCTGCTATATAGCACATTCGAATTTGAATATCCATGGCACAAATGCCAGCAATGCCATTAGTATAAAGTGTAATCAGAGGTGTTTGTTTTTCTTGACCAGGAACTGGTTTCTTTGAAAAGTATAGGAAACACACAGTGCCTCTGTGTGTGAGTGTGTGTGTGTCTGCGTATTTTCTGTCTGTTCTATTGCAGGAAGAATTATGGTCTTCCAACATCTTTGTCCTTTATAGTAAGGGTTTTTCTAGAATTTTGCACTGTAGTATATTACCCTTGATTATAGGATCCAATCAGAGTTGATGTACTCAGAAATCCATTGATGTGATTAATGGTCTCCTAATCATACTTTTATTTCCTAGATTAGCCCAATTTCCTGTACTTTCACAATTTTTGAGTCATATCTTGAATTATCCTTTATAGGGGGCCTGAAATCCTTGTATTTTTAGTCTGTAATTTGCATGATTATTTTAATTTTCTTTGATTTCCTTTGCTTGAAGAAAATGAAATTTTGATCTTTTTTGAACTCTTTGAGTGCTGTTCTATGGTAATGGACCTAATATGAACTTTTTTTTCAACTATATACATTTTTTTTCCCATCAGCCCTAGGTCTGGAAGTCTTCCCACAAATTTTCACTAGTCTAGGTTTTATTCTTTTCAAAAGTAAAGTAAAAAATAGTCTCAGATTCTACAAGTAATAGGGAAGTAGACCAGGAAATGACTGTATAGGAAATGTAATTGATCATTCGCTCTTTACAATTGGTTACAAGATTGGCTAATAAACAGTCTATTGAATGATAAAAATGACTTCTAAAATCTTTGGGGGCCTTTAAATACATTTGAAGATTTATTTTTTGATCTCTTACCTTTTTCAAATCACTTGTCTGCATTTGAAATTCAGACTTTCTCATATCTAGTGGTTGCTTTAATATTTGCTTTGTTTTCAACAGTGCCCTTAAAGATAGCCGTTTCCCCCCAATGACAAGGGATGAATTGCCACGGCTGTTCTGCTCAGTGTCTCTGCTCACTAACTTTGAAGATGTCTGTGATTATTTGGACTGGGAGGTAAGACTATAGAAATTTTTGAAAGAAAAATGAAGGTAACTCCTGAGTAAATGTTAAAAAGTAGGCCCAGGAAACAACTCTTTCAGCCCATTCTTTATTATAGTGGAGGTAGAGAGTAAGGTGAATAAAGAAACTTCACATTTGATCAATGAGATATCAGTGAAGGAGTTGTTTTGTTTTGTTTTGTTTTGTTTTGAAGGCAAAGCGCCATGTGTTGTTTTAATCCCCAAACTGAATTTGCTGTTTATTTTTGTCCTATTACTTTACCACAGCACCTCATAAAAGCTGTTAATAAGTAGTGAAAAGGACTGATTGGAATTTATTTTTCCTCTTATTTCCATTCTAATGTACTTCGGTGTAACCGCCACCCAGCAGTTAGGTGCTCAGAGGAAACTTCTCAGAAGCAAGGAGCCAAAGAGTGAGGATAATATGCCAGTTAGGGAAATCAGTGTGTGGATACAGAACAGGGTGTCCATTAACTGCAGTTAAGTCATGTTAATTCATTCTTAGCTACCTTACTTTATGCACTTAAACCCGCTAACAAATAATATTAAGGTTGTATCTCAGTGATCTCTGAGCATTGTCATGATTGAAGTAGCCTAGATTATTCTTGTTTTTTATTCTTTAGTGTGTGGTGTTGGGTTTTTAAGGAAGTTCAGAGGTTCTCAGCATGATTTGTTTTGCTTGTTGCTGGGAGATAGTCGAGTGTATGTCTATGAAATTTCACACACAATCGTGCATACATTATTGAATGCCTCCTGGGTTCAAGGCACTGGGCTACATACACAAGAGTCCTAAAATCTGGTCCCCGCCATAAAGCATCTTTCAGTCTAACAGCAGAGAAAAGAAGTATATACCAAGCATAAAGAAATAAGTACTACAACAATGAAACAGTGGGAATTCAGTAATGCACTTAGCTTTCTCTCACATAAACACTCATAAATGACATGACTAGATCTTTATGCTATAACATGTTTTAATTCTACTGACTTTTTAGAATGACCATGTCCCATGGTAACTGAGATAATCTGCCTTGTGGACAGATCACTGTCCTGATAATTAATTGGACTTGAATTTTAGTTTGCGATTTGCTCGTGAGACTTTGTGAGACTTTGGACATCTTATTCCACTGCCATTCAGTTCTCCACATACAGACTAAGACATTTCTAAAGTTCTTAACCTTCAGTGGAAAAAATCCCTGTGATATAAATTATTGTTGTTAGGCCAAAGCTTTAAAAAAAAACATTCTGCCCAGAGTAGGATAAAAGACTTCTTCTGAGTTTTGGAATACTTAGGGTTTTTTGGAGTATTATCAGAATATGAAAGCATTCAGGGAAGCTTTGTAATGGGAGAAATAAAATTAATTAATAGTGTTGAACCTAGCAAAGTTGGATTGGGTAAAAATTTTCACAGAATTAAAAATCCTGATTGCTTTCTATAAGTTCATTGTTCCTATTTGAATTTTTCTTAAAGCCTACCCATGTCATAGAAACATTCCTTAGTACTTTATTTTTAAATGATCCCAAATTATATCCCTTACTTATTAACCAATATTAAAATTTGAGCGGTTCTTTTAATGTTTTAAGGCCACTGCTTCCTCTTCTCTAGCTAGAATTTTATTTCTGCTTTCTGAATTGCAGAGTGCCTGGGGGGGGGGGGGGGGCATAACAGGGTAAAGCCTGAAATCTAGAGATGACCAAGCTACAAAAACACGCCTACTCTTGCTTACCGCCACTGAGTTGGAAGTACAGTTGTGGTGTGTGTCGGGGGCGGGGGGGGGGGGGGTTGCACATGAAAACATGTGAACATGTTTGACATGTAAATGAATGTATATTTCATAAATATACATGTATGTATTTGGAGGGAAGGAAAAATGGGAGGATTCTATAGTAGTTCAAGAAATATGGGCAGCACAGAGTATACCACCATCATCTTCTTTAGCCCACTTCAGGCACTGTCTATAGCTAAAATTAACCCTCATACCTTGTATATTGTATATTTAATACATTCCTTGAGGCTTAAATATTGGTGTCTATTTAGTGATGCTTTCCAATTAAAATAACAGCAACAAAAATAAATATATTTTTTGTGCTTTTAACATACAAGTGTTTGAAAGTGAATTTTAGGTCCTGCTAGAATGGCTATGCTAAGAGGGAAAGACTGTCCTTTTCAGTTAGTATGTCATGGTTGGAAGTATTTAGCTTAAGAGAAATTTGTCCCCGAAGAGTAAGAGTGAAAATTGCATTTTAATAAGTACAAGAATGTGATTTGGGCTTAAAAAAATTACCATAGTCAGTTATTACAAGTGGAATGGTATTATCATGTGGGGATGATGTCATAAGGGTCATCCTTAATAATTCTGAAAAAGCATTGGTTACTTGAAACTCAGAATGCCAAAGTAGAATTCAAAACATTTTTTTAAAGTATATGTCAAGGCATTTCTGCTCCTAGGTATATACCCCAAAGAAATGAAAACAGATGTTGAAACAAAAACCTGTACACAATGTTTATAGCAGCACTATTCATAATAGCCAAAAGGTAGAAATAACCTAAATGTCTATCAACAGATAAATGGATAAACCAAATTCGGGATATCTGTACAATGGAATATTAATCAGCCGTAGAAAGAAATGAAGTAGTGACATGGATGAACCTTGAAAACATTATGCTAAGTGAAAGAAGCCAAGCACAAAAGGCCACATACTGTATGATTCTGTTTATATGAAATATGCAGAATGAGTGTATCCACAGAGATAGACTGTGTTAGTGGTAGCCAGGGGTTGGGGGAGGGGCTGAATGAGAAGTGACGGCTTTTAATGGGTCCGGGGTTTCCATTCAGGGTAATGAAAAAATTATGGAACTGGATGTTGTATGACACTGCGAATGTACTTGATGTGACTGAATTGTACACTTTCAAAGCATTTTACATGATGTGTATTTTATCACATAAAAAGGTGTATATGCATCTGCATGTATATTTAAACCTATTGTCCATAATAGTATGGTGATTCTAATGTATTGAAGAAGAAAACTTTGAAAATTAAAAAAACTATAAAGGCAAGCCATTTGTAATTACACTGTTCTGAGATAACCACTGTTAACATTTTGGAATATTCCTTTAAATTATTTTTCTGTGTCTTTGTATCAATAAATATGCCTATTTGTTCATGTAATGGAGATCATATTGAATATACAGTCATTATTAAAAAGGATTGTGGGAAAGTCTTTGTTTATGGTTTACCTTTATAAGTTAATGATTCATATTGCAAATTTCCTTTATGAGGGGGGTCCAGTCTATATCATGAAAGGATACATTTCACTTTGAGAAATTTCAGGCTATGAAATAGGTAAACTTTTCTTCTAAAAGTGAAATATCCTATTCACCATAAGTATCTAAATTTAACCTGAAATGCACAGCGCTCTATATGTTGATGCCACAGGGGAAACAGGAGATGATGACAGAATTTTAATAGAGAATTTTTAAGGCAGAGATCAGTAACAGGTATGTTTGATATTAACAGAAGCCTCTCACCTAGGGCTTTTCTGGTAGAAGTACCGTTTGAGAGTTGACCCCCACTGGTGAAGCGTGTTACTGCAATAGAATTCCTAATTAAAGAGGCGAAAATGCCCAGATCAAAGCAGAAGAGAGCAAAGTCTAGAAGTCCCAAAGCATAGAGGTGAGTCACTTTGGTAACAAGAGAGATATCCCTGTGGTCATGAAGATGAGGGACGTGACCAGTGGTCATAGCCACCTAATTTTCAAATGATCAGGAAACAAGTGAACCACCACAGGGCTGGCTACTGTCTTTCTCTTTTCCTCAAGGTTTTTAACTGAGCCTGTCTGGGACCTCTCTTTTGGTAACATGTCTCTATTTGTAGAGTGGAAGTTAATAGGAAGGTAGGATTTACAGCAATCAGACTTTTTTTAGAGGCTAGAATGCTTCCCTTTGATAACATGAGGAACGTCTGATAAATGGTTTCACAAGTGGATGTAATTGGTCCATTTCAAGATTGAATTGGCAGAATGATCAGTGATGCCTCCATGTTATATTTCCTCAACATAAGAATCATAACATGTAAGATGAGCGTCTGTGAGTAGCCTCTCAAGGTAGTGATTAAAAACAGCAAAACCATCCACAAAGACCACACAGACAAATTGCAACACCCGCCCCTCCCTCCTAAGAATTGCTCATCATTGCCCCCATCATGATCTACTTCTTGCCCTGGTAGGTATGAGAAGGATGAAGAGTTGAATGATTTGGAGGAGAAAAAATTCATTAAGTGGTAAATTGAGATATCTACCTGCCAGGCTAAAATGGCTGTTAAATGAGGAAAATTGCGCCACCAGGGTGACATCGGAAGTGATCTGCCTTGTGTCTGGACGCTAAAATTATGACCGTGGTTAGGTGTTCTTCTGTCGACAGCATTCTCTTAATTCCATATGACAGGATGATGGACAGGCATGGTGCTTCAGAAAGAAAGAAAAGCTCTTGCAGTGTGTAGAATCCCTCTCAAATAATCTGTAGGCTAGAACTGGTATAGTCACACGATTTGGGAGTCATGTTTGTTTTTCCAAGATCTGAAAGGATTTAAAACCAAGGACATTACAACAGTCGGAGTTTGAACTGAAGGGTGGTGCTAGGTATATTACCTCGTGACTGCTCATTTGCAAGATGATATAAATGAGTAAGCCTTTTGCTTGTTGAGGAACTTGTATACAGCCAGTATACAACCTGTGATCTTGCAGGGGGAGCTCACGTCGCAGTCTACTGCCCAGAAGACAAAGTATTTTCAAAATTGTCGTCAGGGAACTCTTATTTCTGTGCTTTAGAGAACAGATCATTTTGGAGGCATGAGGAAGATATATTTTCAGTCATCGGAAGTAAACCATTAGATCATGTTTTAATAGATCAGTAACATTTTTCATGAGCAATAAAGCACTTTTAGTTCTATCTAGCTCCCTCGATCACTGCTATCTCAACTGTGTATACAGCTGTCAC